AGGACACAGATTGTAGTGTGAAGCGCTTTGAGTGTCCTGGTTAGTTAGAAAGGTGTTAAACAAGTACAGTCCATTTACTATTTAGTTACTGATTAGTTACCAAGTAGTTACTAAGAACACCAAAGAGGAACTACTGAGTAGTTACTGACTAGTTATTAAGTAATTACTAAGGACACTGAAGAGGAACTACTGAGTAGTTACTGACTAGTTATTAGGTAGTTACTAAGGGCACTAAAGAGGAACCACCGAGTAGTTACTAATTAGTTACAGAGTAGTTACTAAGTAGTTACTGACTAGTTATTAAGTAATTACTAAGGACACTGAAGAGGAACTACTGAGTAGTTACTGACTAGTTATTAAGTAGTTACTAAGGACACTAAAGAGGAACTACCGAGTAGTTACTAATTAGTTACAAAGAAGTTACTAAGTAGTTACTGACTAGCTATTAAGTAATTAGGACACCGAAGAGGAACTACTGAGTAGTTACTGACTAGTTATTAAGTAGTTACTAAGGACACTGAAGAGGCACTACTGAGTAGTTACTATTAAGTAGTTACTAAGGACACTGAAGAGGAACTACTGAGTAGTTACTGACTAGTTATTAAGTAGTTACTAAGGACACTAAAGAGGAACTACCGAGTAGTTACAAATTAGTTACAGAGTAGTTACTTACTAGTTATTAAGTAATTACTAAGGACACTGAAGAGGAACTACTGAGTAGTTACTGACTAGTTATTAAGTAGTTACTAAGGACACTGAAGAGGAACTACTGAGCAGTTACTTACTAGTTATTAAGTAGTTACTAAAACACCAAAGAGGAACTACTGAGTAGTTAGTGAGTAGTTATTAAGTAGTTACTAAGAACACCAAAGATAAACTATTGAGTAGTTACTGAGTAGTTACTAAGAACACCAAAGACAAACTACTGAGTAGTTAAGGAGTAGTTCCCAAGTAGTTATTGAGTAGTTACTAAMTAGTTACTAAGAACACCAAAGAGGAACTACTGAGTATTTACTGAGTAGTTACTAAGAACACCAAAGATGAACTAGTGAATAGTTACTGAGTAATTTCCAAGTAGTTACAGAGTAGTTACTAAGRAGTTACTAAGGACACTGAAGAGGAACTACTGAGTAGTWACTGAGTAGTTATWAAGTAGTTACTAAGGACACTAAATAACTACTGAGTAGTTACTGAGTAGTTCCTCTTTGGTGTATTTAGTAACTACTCAGGACACCAAAGAGGAACTACTGCTTAGTTACTGAGTAGTTACTGAGTACTTCCTCAATAGTTAAGCATTTTTTATGTACCTTATTGTAAAGTGTTTCTTCCACTAGGAGCTGCGTGAGCTGCAGGCCAGCATCAAAGACACCTCGGTGGTGGTGCAGATGGARAACAGCCGAAGCCTCAACATGGAGCAGATTGTAGCTGAAGTCAAGTCTCAGTARGAGGACATCGCAGCTCGCAGCCGAGAGGAGGCCGAGGCCTGGTACAAGAACAAGGTAAGGTGTTCAGGTAGATTATATTGAGCACTGAGAAACACAAACTGAAGGTGGACGTATGATGATGGACYTTTCTTTGCTCACAGTTTGACCAAATGTCAGTCCAAGCCAGCCAGTTCGGAGACGAGCTCCGCATCGTGAAGGGAGATGTGGCCGAGGTCAACCGGCTGATCAGCCGCCTGCAGAGTGAGATCGAGGCTGTGAAAGCTCAGGTATGAGGCCCTGACATAAGCTCACAGGTACAGGCCAAACTTTTACCTGATCCCGTGCTGATRGTTTCTGGTCCCATCAGCGCGCCAGTTTGGAGAACCAGCTGGCTGAAGCGGAGGAGCGCGGAGAGATGGCTGTGAAGGAAGCCAAGGCCCGAACCAGAGACCTGGAGGACGCTCTGCAGAGAGCCAAGCAGGACATGGCCAGACAGCTGAGAGAGTACCAGGTCTGTGAGGAGGAGTCACACTGAGAGGAACAATGGCTGAATGAGACCTGTACTTCTTTATTCTTCTGATCCACAGGATCTGATGAACCTGAAACTGGCTCTGGACATTGAGATCGCCACCTACAGAAAACTGCTTGAGGGCGAGGAGGACAGGTAGGACAGGAGACGAGGACAAAAGGCTGAAATTCCTTTCTGAAGTCCACTGATAAACAAACACAGCTAAAGAAAAAAAAACATCTCCAAAAGTTAAAAGTAGCAAAAAGCTAATTCAAAGCTAAAGTAACAAAGTGTAGCTAAAAGCTAATATAACACAAGTATAGCTAAGAATATCAAAATGGTTTCCAAGAGTAGCAAAAATCTAGCTAAAAGCTGAAAGTAGCAGATTGATAAATAAAAGCTAAAGGAAACATAAAGCTACTTAAAAGCTAAATTAAACAAAATGATAAAGGCTAAAAGTAGAATCATACTAGGTAAGCAGCATAACATTAGCTAAAAGCTAAAAGTAAAAAAATTCTAGCTAAAAGTAGCAATCATCTAGCTCAATGCTAAAGTAGCTAAATGTAGTTAAATGCTAACATATTGTAGCAGAATGGTAACAAGTAGCAAACACGCCCAAGGCTAAATTAGCAATGTGTAGCTATAAGCTAATGAAATAAACGGATAGCTAAGAATAGCAGAACGGTAACTAAAAGTAGCAACATATAGCTAGTAGCTAAATGTAACAACTCAAAAAATCTAAAACAAAAATGAAGCTATAGTTAAAAGGTAAAATATCCTAATGAAAGCTAAAGGATGAAGGTAGTTTCTTGCTAGGTAAAAGCAGCTTAACATTAGCTGAAAGTCAAAGAGTCCATGCTAAAATTAGCAAACAGCTAGCTCAAGACTAAAGTAGCAAAGTGTAGCTGTAAGCTAATGAAACAAAAGGATAACAATGAATTGCAGAATGGTAACTAAAAGTAGCAAATTTCTAGCTAAAAATTCAATGTAGCAGATCAGTAAAGAAAAACAAAAACAAACATAAAGCTGGTTAAAAACAAAAATTAAGAAAATTATAGCTAAAGGCTAAAAGTGGAAAAATGTGAGGTAAAAGCAGCATAACATTAGCTAAAAGCTGAAAAGGTCTAGCAGTAGCAAACAGCTAGCTCAAAGCTAAAGCAGCTAAATGTGGGTAAAAGTTAAGACAAAAGGATAGCTAAAATTAGCAATAAGCATAATTAATAGGAAAAATTTGCCAACAACTTTGCTGTCAAAGTAGAACAACAGAAAAATAAACAGTGGCCATCTACTAAGCTAAAATAAACCATATTTATTGCTCAGGAATTTATTCTCATTATCATAAATGATGAGATTTTGTTAATTCCAGCTCTAAGTGGCAGTGAGAGGACCAACCACAATAAAAAAGTTTTATTTTTCCTTTTCAGACTGGGACAACAGTCCATCCTCAACATTCAGCCCATCTCCAACTACAGTAAGCAACAAAAGTCATTTATATATGTTTAAACTTGATTTATTATTATTATTATTATTATTATTATTATTATTATTATTATTATTATTTATTCATCCATGTTTATGATTTTCTTTCTTGTTTCTCTCCAGGTACTAAAAGTACCAACGGCTACCACAGCAGCAGCAGCAGCAGCTCTCCTGCTCCGAAACTGCTCATAAAAACAATCGAGACCAGAGATAACATCACATACAGCGCTCACTAAAACTCACTGTTTCACTTTGATTTGCTAACGTTTGTCTCTAATTGTTTAGACTGCACCAAATACTTTAAATCACTAGATAATGGAATATTTGATCATTTAAGTCAAACTTGAACTGAAAATAGAAATAGAATTGGTGGGTATTAGTCTAACTCAGTTATGTGGGTAATAATGTGCAAATCTGCTGTTTAACTTTCTGTGTAATCTATTTGCAAGCTTATAAGAAAATGGACAACTATTTAGAAAGCCCTAGAGAAATAATTATCACAAATTAGCTCTTTGTCTTCTGACATTATTTTATGTTGTTATAAAATTGTTTAGATTAAAATAAAGTAAAATGTGGACATGGGTGTGACTTTCTTCTTAAACTATCTTATTCAAAATTAAACTAGATTTGAGCAAAAACGTCTGTGAATTATTTTTCCTTTAGGTGTGATGCAGTGCAACAAACAATGGCTTTGGCTCTGTGTGCTTGCAAACAAAACGGCTGCAATATTTATTTTATTATAACAAAAACGAATTGTTTTAACAGTGTTCAGATCCAGATGACAGCTTTATTACATGAGTCATGAAGACTGGTCAAATAAATAGTAAAGTAGAAAAAAATCTGTACGAAACGTTCTCATGTTGATGCTTAGTTACAATTTGTAAGCAAAATTTTGTGCACGGTTGCCAACTATCGTGTGCATTTGCTTATAAAAACAGCCCAAATAGCTGAAAATAGGTAAACAATTGCAACATTGGTGTAAGAGATGTTTGGGACAATTTTAATGTATTGGTTTGAGTTTATACACTCAGATTTGTTGAGTTAGGCATGCAGATTAACATTTTTTGTTTGCTTGTTTGTTTACAATGAGTGCAAACAAACATTTCAAAACTGCATTAAATCGAATTTAGAAACTTTACTAAATAAACTATTTCAAAGTGCACTATTTGAAATTGTTAAAGTGTAAAGTTTTGTGCAATTTTGTTATTTATTCTAAAATGATCAAACGCTGCCCCCTAGCGGTTACTGTATGTAACGTCACAATACATGTATTGTAATAACGACACTATTATGAATCAAATCTGCTTTTTCTATTATAAACTCGGTAGAGAAATACAATTTTCTGGCTATAACATTACTTAAAAAGCAAAATGTATTTTTGAGCAGTAAAAATGAGGAGAAGAATGATAACATAATCACCAGGAGGATCTGTGTTTGCTTCCGTGCACGAGACTGAAGGGGTTTGTGCGGTCAAGCTTCACGCAGACGCTTCCTGCCACTCTGATTGGCCAGAGCGGCGAAGTTTTCGCGCCAACGCGCTGCATTGTGGGAAATGTAGGCGGAAGTGTGACTGTCGTGTGTGCGCTTGTGGGAGACGGTTGTTTTTGTTGGTGTTTTGGGGTTGAGGACAGGGGCAGCGCCGTGCCTTTTACGGGGGGTTTGGTGGATCTCAAAGTTTCAAACCGGAGCCGGTAATTGTTGCGAATGCGGGGCGAGGAGTCGTCGGATTCCGAGTCGGGGAGGATGGAGGAGAGTTCGGTCCGGAGGAGTTTGGAGACGTTGTGTCAGGAGCTGAACATGGACGAGCAGACAGCCACTGAAGCTATGGACAACTTCACTGCCATATGGAACACGTACACTCTGGAGGTGATTAATATCCTTTAATAACCGGTTACTGTTTAATCATGTAGTCAGTTACACTGTAATAAAGTTATTTAGATAAAAATATACATAAAATAGTGTCCCAAAAACACAAACACCGGGATTAAAGGGGCTTCAGCTGACATGTTTTCAAACCAGGAACTGCGACAACAGAAGCATAAACACACATTTCCTCCTTTAATTAATCTTTTGTCAGAACAGACATTTTAGCATTAACAAAATATGTTTACAAATATCCAAAAACTATGTAAAAAAAGTCGATTATAATCAAACATGAGTACAGTTTTTCTGAAAAAGTACATAAAGTAAGTTTGTATTGTGATTTAAGAGGAATGGGAACTTTAATGAAAGTATATTAATAAGATTAAGCACATTTTTTTCCCTGTTGGATGTCAGTATGTTTCAAATAAACTATTCTTTTTGGTCTGATAATAAACTTGTTCATATAATGTTGCACTTTATTATATTAATACAGAAAGTTTGACCAATTAATACTAGTAAGTAAAGTATATAGMCAGTTACTTAAATAAAAGAACGTGTAAAACATGTTTATTATCTCATGTTGACCTATTGATTTCATCTTCAGGGCTCAAAGGTGCTCCACAAGAGAAGAGGCAGCGTACTGTTAACACAAAAAAGTGTAATAATTGAATTAATATTCAGACATGGACGTTTACCGCCTTTAGATTATTACATAATCTGAGTTTCAAATTGTCTCGTTGTCAAAATGAGTCACTGGATTATTCATCAGCCTCGTTAATCTGTCCCAACAAGTACTGACTGGATATTTTCCTCATAGTTTGCAGTTATGCTCCATTTTTTTCTGTTGTTCTGGTAAAAGTGGAGCATTAATTGTGGTTTGGGCTTATTTTTTTGTCTGCAGGGAGTGGTGGTCCACTGGCTGGCCTGCTCGCTGTACGCCGCCTGCAGGAAGGGCTCCACTCCCACTGTGGGGAAAGGCCTGATGGAGGGAAACTGCGTCTCGCTCACCAGGATCCTCCGCTGCTCCAAGCTCAGGTCAGACACCGTCACTTCTGCAGAACCTGACCTGAGGGGCGGGGGGTTAAAAGTGGGACAAACTTCTGGTGACGTTTCTGTTTCTTGTCGCAGTCTGATCCAGTTCTTCTCCAAGATGAGGAAGTGGGCCGACATGTCGAACCTCCCGCAGGACTTCAGGCTGCGGATGGACCGGCTGGAGCGGAACTTCGAGGTCTCCACCGTCATCTTCCGCAAGTTTGAGCCCATCTTCACGGACGTGTTTCAGAATCCGCAGGGCTGCGAGCCGCCGCGGCAGCCACGCAGCAGGAAGCACAGGCACGACACACACACACAGGCACACACACTTCCTGCACTAAACTAAGGGATGGGAGTTGCGCATTTTGAAGTATTGCATCAGAAAAGGTGAATGGAAACAGCATGATTTGAAAAAACTTCCTCTAATTCGCAAAAAAGTTTATACGCTCGCTTGAGGTGGGTTTTTTTTTTTTAAATAGAGAGGAGAAAAAAAGGAGAGATGGAAACGTACCGAAAAAGCTCTGACGTAGTGAACATTTACCTCACATGTTGATCAGCTGTTCCTGCTGTCTGAACGGTACCAGAGCGACTGCAGCTGGACCCTCCTCCCGCTGTCGCTGTACTCTGTTCTTCCTGTAAAGTGAAGAGAATTGCATTTCTTTCTCTACGTCTCCAGACAGCAGTAACATCACCAGAACCAGTTGATATGACAGAATAATTACAACTTTCCCGACAGTAACAACACAGCTATTGGTTATTGGAATATATTATCTCTTGATATAAAAGTATTAGATAATTATTATAATTTCAAAGCCACTGTAAAGGATTGGTTATTCAAAGGTGTGTTATGAGAGAGGTTGTTAATTGATTCATGTTTTAGGGGTTTAAGTTAATGTTTCTTTTATGAAATTTATGATGGTTTTTGTTTTATTGAAATTTATTTATTTTGTTTTATTTTATTATGTTTGTGTTGTTGTTTGTATTTTATTGTTATGTTGTGTTTTGTTTGTTGGGCCCCAGGAAGGTTAGTCTCTTCTTTGAAGAGACTAATGGGGACCCGTTAATAAAATTAACAAAAATTAACACGTTCCTGATAACTGCTGTCCATGGTCCTGAGGTGTGTGGACCCTGTGAGTTTGTGACTTTTACTTCCTGTTTACTACAAACATGCGTCAGGTGTAATTGATTCGCTTCGAGGCAGTTGATGGAAACACGTCTGATTCACATTTCTTCTTCCTTTTTTTTTGTGAAATTTTAAAAATTGGCTCAAAATTCAATAAAAATTGGATGGAAACTCAGCTACGTTCTCTAACAATGTCTTTTCAGAGCTACAAATAATGATTCCATGCAGATGTTTGCTAACGGTGTATTCTTTATTAGTATAATATACARACGCATATGTATATTATAAATAATGATTCATTGGTCTATATATCGATTTGAATGGTTTATGATTCAGTTATATTGAGGCAAAATGAAAATATCGATCCATATCATCATCATACGTATGCTCGATGGGAATCAATATCATTTATTTATTTTATTTATTTACTGTTATTTTACCAGGCAAGTCCCATTGAGATCGCAGATCTCTTTTTCAAGGGAGGCCTGAGCCTGAAGGCAACATATTGTTCATGTTTTTGTGTTATGGGGGAAACCGGAGTACCCAGAGAAAACCCACACAAGCACGAGGAGAACATGCAAACTCCACACAGAAAGACCCCAGGTTCYAACCGGGGATCGAACCTGGGGTCTTTCTTGCTGTGAGGCGTCGGTGCTAACCACTGAGCCATCGTGCTGCCCAACACAATTGTGTTAGATGGGCAGGTGATATCAGCCGGCCAATGCCTCGTCAACCTCTAATAATATTTGTTTTTTTGCCTGTTTTTTTTATCACATTGAGGTTTTTGTTTTTTCCTAGCCTCGATCTCTGAGCACACACACTAATCAACCCTGAAGTACCTTCATTTTAAGGTTCACATTTAGTCAAACACAGACTCACAAACTGTTTTCTTTGTTTTCAGACGGCTGCCCTGTCACATCAGTGATGTGTTCAAGTTCTGTTGGACCCTGTTTGTCTACACTAAAGGTACAACGAGCTGAACTTTGGCTTTTATTTCTTTCTTTACATTTTGGATTTAAAACCAAAAGAAAGAACCTAAAATCAGATTAAAGTGAGTTCTAAGCTGTGACTGTGTTTCTGTGAAGGAAACTTCCGTATGATCGGGGACGACCTGGTGAACTCGTACCACCTGCTGCTCTGCTGTCTGGACTTGGTGTTTGGGAACGCTTTCCTGTGCTCAAACAGGAAGGACCTGATCAACCCTGCGTTCAGAGGTACGGCTCTGTGACGTCACGTCGGGGAGTAAAACGAGATCGCAGCTTCACCTCTGTCRCTGCGTCTCCGCAGGTTTACCCTCCACGTATCGGAGCGACGGACACGTGGCCCCCTCCGAGCCTCCTCCCTGTGTGCTGGAGAAGCTGTGCGAGCTGCACGACGGGCTGGTGGTGGAGGCCAAGGGCATCAAGCAGCACTACTTCAAACCGTACATCCAGAAGCTGCTCCAGAAGCAGGTCAGAGAGTGGAGCTGGTTTTAATAGTTTCATTTCACTTCTGTTTCTGACCTCATTCTGTTTTCCTTTTTATTTATCAGATCCTGAAAGGAAACGAGCTGCTTTTGACTGAAATGTTGGATCCTCAGAACTTTATTGATAACAAGTAAGCAACAAGAATAAGACTCCTGTCCTTTTTCTCTCATATTAGTCTTTGTTTTTATAGTAGAGCAGAACAGAATCAAACATAAACCAGGGCTCTAGACTAACTTTTTGCACCGGTGCACCTAACATTTTTCCTTAGGTGCACCCAAATTTGCAAACACATCACATTTAACATTAATGTTTTAATGGTTCACTTCATAAAAATCATTGTCTATTAAGACAACATTAACTCACAAATAATTAGTTAACAATCTAGCAAAAATAAAGTTCTCTATTTGAACCAGAATCATAGACATATAACTTACTGAAAAG